CTGATGAGTGACAGGTGATGGGTCGGTATGCCTGCCACATCTGTCTCCCATAAGATCATGGGTCAAGCAAAGGTACCTTCTGGAATTTGATACACTCACTGATAAATGACCAGTTTGTACCCTGTGGTGTGCTGGCAGATGGTGGCTGTTGGCTTGTACAAACATGATGCAGAGTCATTTCTACCTTGGCACTTGTACTCGGACAGAATAACTCAGGTAAAAAAGCCTTGCTTTAGAAAATGAATGACTCAGGGATAGGTACCGTCCAAAAGCTGTGTAACCCCAAGTAGGCTAGCTCTCCCAAGAGACCGTAAGAAAAGAGAACGTGTAGAAGGGAAACCAAAACAATGGGAGAAGAATTATGGCACCAATACATAAATAAGAGATAAAGGGAGTTTTCTAATGCAAACAGATAAAATTATCTTTTCCTAATTCAATTTTATATCATTACTCTTCCCCCAGCCGCAACCCCCAACAAGCGAACAACCCCCGCCCCAAACTCACAAAGAACAAAGTTGTAATGAATGACTATCTCCCACTGTCAGTCAAGTTTGGTCCTGCACAGTTAGTAAGAGGGGGAAAAAAAGCAGCGTGCCTCTCAAGAACCTGGCTTAGAGCCAGTGTGACTCAATAGCCATAATTTGCATTTGAATGCAATTAACTGGGCCAGTGCCTTGGAGTTATCAAGCTGTCTACAATACACATATGCTGGAAACCCAACAAAAGTCCAGCGCCCTGAGAGGGGCTTTTGTTCTTTGAATTTCCCTGAGATGTGGTATCTTAGGTATAATTTTCAATTTAAAAATTATCCAAACTTTATGTATTCCTTTTGTTTTACAAACTAAAAGAAATTTAGTTGCTTGTCGTTTCTTTTTCCTTAGAAGAACGATTCTAGAACTTTAGCAAAAGTGATTTAAAAATTTGTACCAATATAAATAGATAAAAAAGAAGGGAAAATAGGAAACTTCAAACTTCTTTTCTAACCAGAAATCACCCCCATTAATATTAAAAATAGACAGAAATGAGCAAATGTGCAGATGGCATATAATTGAAGTTTTTATTTTTCAGTAATGTTAAGAATCATTAAAAATAAGTTCACACAATCAGGAGGTAAATTCAGGAGGATTTGGAGTTCAGGGTGATCTTTGCCTGTATAGGTTCTCTGAAGCCAGACTGGTCTGTTTATCTCAGACCTTGTCTCAAAAACACAAAACACAGGTAGCAAAACATGCTAGCAAATTGCCTTTCTATAAAATGAATTACTACTTCAGGAATTTATGCTACCCTTTTTCTTAATTTTCAGTCTACCATCTTCACAAAGCAAACAGCATAGGCAGGCTATGATTTTCTAAACCCAAAGAAAAGGGGGGAAAATGCGTAGTGAAACTAATGCTGGAGAATGAAGAGCCCTGGACAAGGAGTTGTTTACCTGAATTTTAATTTAGTGTAGTCTACCACTAATTTATTGTGCAAAGCCTGTGTTCGGTGAGTGTCAGGGACTGGCAATGGACGTGGACTGGAATAGCTTTGGTCTCTAAAATGTGCTGGTTTATAGACTTTAGGAGCTCATGTCTCCCTCCGGAGTGTGTGAACACTCCCTTTACAGACACTGCGGTCTGGAAGCAGTCTTCTCAGAACTATAACCAGGAGGCAACTGCTTATTTACTATGAAAACTTGTTCTGTGTTGAAATCAAAGCCTAACATGCCCTTCTGCTGGAAACCACTGATTTACTTATTCAACACTAAGTACCGGTTGCCCTCCTGGGTATTCTACAAGTTCTGCCCTTTATAAATTGCTAAGCTAGCTGAAGAGTTAGAAAATGATCATTGCTACAACAAAGACAAAAGTAAAGCATAGTACAGATCTGGTAGAAAGAGAAGTCCTGGATGCAGTCCAGGGGAGGAGTGGAATAAGCAAAGATTGAATGGAGTATTGCTTTGTTTTCTTTTCATGTAAACCTGAAATATAGAAGAGTTTCTTATAAATACAAGTGGTAGGAAAGCCTTCTTTTCCTGTATATATGTAAGGTGGATAGAATAGCTACACATACTTTTTATTTATTATTATTATTATTATTATTATTATTGAGACAGGTGCTCTGTTAACAGTCCTGGCTGTCCTGGAACTCACTTTGTAGACCGGGCTGGCCTCAAACTCACTGAGATTTGTCTGCCTCTCCTAAAGGCATGCACCACTACCACCCAGATACACGTACTTTTTAAAGTCATTGAGATAATTAAATAAAGTCATTCATGTCGATACTGAGCACAGTGCAGATCATTACTGGTGGAAAAATTACATGAAAGAGAACCATTCTGGGTCAGCAGGTCTGTTGTTGCTCTTGTGGTAGCATTAAATATTAGCTTGTTAACGATTTTCCCCCAAGTGTTTCTGGGCAGAGGGTTGTCTAGACATGCTTTCCCAAAACCAGTTGTTTGCATACGGAGTTATAATCAGAAATTAAAAAAAAAAGAATCCTCTTGCTTGCAGCAGAAAGGAAGAGTTGAATAAGTTTTAATGAGTTATTAGAATGTGGAAACCAGAGAAACAGTAAATAGCCTAGAGCAAGCAATCTCGTGAGGCTGCTGCTCCAGTGCACGCTGGGGCTTCTCTGCGGCTGTCTGTACACGGTGCACTACAGGAAGCTCTGGGTTAGGCAGGTGCGTCTGCTCTTAGAACTATCCAAAGGCCTGCTGCACCTTGCGTTTGCACATCTCAGACTCCGGAACTGCAAGAAAGAAATTAGTTCTTTGTAAATTACAAAGTTCTGTATCTGAAAAGACTCATAACAAAATTAGCTAGGAGTCTGTTGTGTGTTTATAGGGAGCTAACAATGTTAGAGAAGCCTTTTCAGCCTCCAGAACAGCTCCTATATGAGGAAACTCATTGCTTATACATAAGAAGCTGAGATTGAGAAGGCTTGCATATCTTGCCCAAAGTCACATAATTATCCAGTTAATATTAAATGATACTATTTCACATTCATTTGTAGGCGAAGATCTATAGAAATATCCACAGAAACACTGATGAGTACAATAAAAATAATCACTGCTATCATGAAACTAACATGGAGGGAACAAGGCAATGAAAACCAATACCAAGAGAATGCCCCCTGTTGATAAGGGCTAGCAAGAAATAAAAGTATTGCTTATTTTAGAGTTTAGCATCAACTCCCTAGGCAAGACATGTGTTCAGACAAAGTTTCTCTGTGAAACAGTCCTGGCTGTCCTGGAACTGACTCTGTAGGCCAAGCTGACCACGAGCTCACAGAGATCTGTCTGCCTCCTGAGTGCTGGGATTAAAGGTGTGCGCCACCACCACCACCGCCAGGCTGTTTTGTTAACTCTTAGTTTTATCTTTAGTCCTGTGTTTTTCTTAAATGAGGCCTGATAAGACACAGGGTAAGTGGAATAGTATGAATAATTATATGCATAACATGCACGCCCTCCATTTCTTGTGGCCTTATTCTTAGTTATCAGCCATTATTCCCTCTAACATAGAATTCTGTATGTAACAGAACTACTGTGGAGAGTTCAGTGAGATTCATAGTCAAGGAGAATGGCGGGGGGGGGGGAGGCACATGTCTGCAGTTAAGGAAACAGAGAAGGTATCATGTATGACATTCCAAAACAACTTCAACAGCAAACACTGTCACTAAGGAACTCAGGCTTGTCCTATCTTACTCTCAGGGAGCCAACCACTGGCTCTGAAAATGCTGAACTAAAAGAAAGGGAAAGATAGCTTTTCTCCACAGTCCTTCACTTGTTTTTAAAATTTTATTTTTAACATATCTATATGTGGGTGGGTGGTGGGCACGGGTGCTTTGGAGTGCAGTACCCACAGAGTTAGGTGTCAGGTTCCCTGAAACTGCATTTGCAGGCAGTAGGGAGCCACGTGGTACACGGGTGCTGGAAAAGGACTTTAGTTCTCTCCAAGAACAGTACAGGCTCTTTACCACTCATGGAGCCTGCTCTCCTGCTCCTTCATTTCTTGTCATGACAAGTGCTAATTCGAGGAGAAGGACCACTGACCCAAATCATCACAGCCAAGTGAATTAAATCAAGCTTTTTTATTCATGTACACAGGCTGCCTCCCCCTAAGGCGGGGTTCAAGAGACCAGCCTTGGACATGAGGAAGACAATGTTTTCATAGCTCAGGGGTAGGGGGCTTCCAAATGGGTGATTTGTCTGGCAAAATAGGTGGGGGCTACAGGAGCCGAACATAAGCATAACAAGTTAATCATAATGACCTCCCTAAACAAAGCGATGACTGCAAGGTGGTCATAAGGTGGCCATAACAATCTTTTGAAACAAAGGTAGGTTGCAAGATGGTCATAACAACTTTTCAAAACATTCCTGTTTATGATTAAATCTGTTTCTCAAGGATTGGGCTAGGCCCCACCTGTATCCTTAACTACAAATGGTTCTGGACTGCCTGTTCCAGGAAAAATTCACAGAAATAATCTAAAAATTTCACTATGTAGAGAATTATGTTTAAATGCAAATAAACCATAGTAACAAAGGAGACCTTAGAAGGGAAAAGCCTCATATTTTTATCCACCAAATAGCATTTTGTACAATTTCTAGTGCAATTATCATTTACCCATTATAGTTGTGCATTTTTTTTGCAAGTCTGTAATTGGGCCTTGCTAAGTGGTGCTATTAGGAGTGAGTGAGCAGGAGAGGCTCCCTGGGGAAACTGCACTTGGGCTGAGCCCGTGAAAAGACTTGTGGGTAAGAACATTGCAGGTAAAGGGAATAGCTATACCAAAGACCCCAGAAAGCAAAGAAATGTGTATGTCCCACAACTAGAAGACCCGTGTCACCAAAAAGCAGTAGTTAAGGAGTAGAGTGGTTAAAATGAGGCTGGAGTGTGAAGGGCCTAAGTCTAGAAGAATCTATGCTGTTTGTGTTAGGTAACCACTAGAAAGTTTCAGGCCAGGGAATGACTCATGTCACTCTGCTAGTGTGTGGGCAAGAGTGAACTATGGGAGACCATCCTGAGCTTTTTATCAACTGTAGAATTTACCCTTCCCTTGTAGAATTTGTTACAGGCCTATCATAATTTCTAATGTTGTACTTACAAAATGCCAGAACTAAATGATAAATTCTTCAAGGTCATGACATTGTGCTGTTCTCCACATGGCTAGTCTCTAGCATTGCTTGCACGTGTATTAGATATTTAGTAAATAAATGTTCAGAACAGGGCTTAAATTCTTGCATGGTAGAAGCTCCGACTTTGGGATTTTCTTTTAATGTAAGGTTATTAATGACAGAAACCACAAGGAAATATAACTTAAAAAAGAAATGTCAAACAAATACTATACAAAATTGGCCATCAGTTTTAGAACTTTCAGCATTTAGGATCTTGAAGCTTTACATGGCCTTTTCCTGAGATCCCAAAGTCACAGCTATTATTGGTGCTAATATTTGGCCCGACTTTTCAGTTTGGTGGCTTGGGACTGAAATTAGCCAAACATATTTTGAGGTTGGTTTTGTATCATATGTAAATATTGGGCTGAATTTGTTGTTCATCTTTAAAACTAAGGGATTTTCACATAAAGATCTGATTTTTCTTTTTCACTCAAGGAACAACAAACATACAATTGAACCAAAATTCTAACAGCACAGGGTTTGCATTCCAGTAGAGCAAGTCCAAGCAGGTGAGTAGGGGCTGATGCCACCTCAGGATGGGGCCTGCCTCTCTTCTCTGTTTAATTCTTCCTCCACTCACTAAAGCTATCTGCCCAGTTCTTGTAGCATGTGTTGCCACAGTTCTGTTTGAGACACATAGGTACTGGTGCTACTTAAAATGAAGACCTTTAAAAGGTTATATACTTTGTTTCTTTGCTAAATATACTTTGTTATTCTTGTCTTTTATGCAGAGGGTTTATCACAGAAGCAAGGTGGCCAAACCAGATCCATCCAGGTCTGGACCTGTCAAGTTGGGACGAAATGTGGCTCCATTATGTTGGCAGATAAATATTGAGGCTAAGGCTATCTCTCCAGAGGGAAGCCTGAGGGTAGGCAGCTTTGACACGAATTTGGTGCACAGAAAGACACTACAACCTCTACCTTCCACTTAAGTTGTCTGTAATAGTTTAAGGGCAGTAAGACAAGAAACAGAGAATTATCTAAAGAAATGTACCCCATGTCTTCCCATGGTTGTAGAAGGTTAACACACTCTTCCCTATCCCAAAGTATACTGTCTCCTTTGACCCTCTCTGAACAGGGCCATGAGGTGTGTGATTTTAGCTTGGGTCAGTGCTTTTATTTGAATAGTGACATTTAATCATTTATACTGTTTTGTATGACCCACAAGTTTATTTACAGAAATGCACGGAGCAGTCCACAAAAGATACTCTGTGGCAAAGCTAACAAAGGCTGTTTCCACAGTGTTATCTAAAGGCATGTGGAAGGACAATGATGACGTGCAGAACACACAATGGAACACTGTTGACAGAATCCTGGGATCCTGGGAGGTGCTGTGGAAGGGCCGGCAGGGAAAGAAAATCGGTTGCAAGGATTTACCACGCAGCATACCTAGATAGAAAACAGTTGTAGGAATGCTTGGCAATTCCAGGGTCGCGCTTACCAGTGTGCCCGTGTGCCCGTGTGCCCGTGTGTGCCCGTGTGTGTGTGTGTGCCCGTGTGTGTGTGTGTGTGTGTGTGTGTTGTTCCCCTAACCACGCGACGGGGCAGAGGGCGCCCAGCCAGGGAACTGGAGGAGGTGGTGGTGGTGGTCAAGGTCCGTGCAGCAGCCCCGGCAGGTGGCTGCGGGGACGCGCGGCCGAGCCTCCGAGGGGGTGCGGGGGGAGGTGCGCTCGCCTCCGCGCGGTGCCGCGCCTGGCCGTGTCTCCGGGGCGGGGCGCACCGGACCGGCCGCGGCTGACGCAGGGCAGAGCGGAGCCGGGCGAGTGGGGGCAAGGGGCGGCGCCGTCCCGAGTCACCGCCCCCTCCCGCGCCTGGGCGCCGCCACCTTTCCATTCAGTCGCCCAACATGGCTGGAGCGCGGAGCTGAGTCCTCCCCACCGCCACCCTCGCCGCCGCCGCCGCCGTAGCAGCTTGCCCGGAGCGGTCGGCACTGTGCTGAGACCCGGGTGGCCGCAGGCATGTTGGGCGCCGCGGACGAGAGCTCGGTGCGCGTGGCTGTCAGGTGAGCTGCGTACGGGAGGGAAAGCCGAGGACAGCCGCCCGGCTCCCCCGCTGTCTGGCCCGGGCCCGTGCGTCGCGACTCCTCGGGGACAGCGGTGGCCGCCCCTCACCCCCACCCATCCCCGCGGGCCGGACGCCGCCCGCTGCACGGTCGCCTCCCGTTCGGCCTTAGGGTGAGCACCTCCCGGAGTCCCCGGCAGTCACCGCCGCTGCTGCCGCCCTGCAGGTCGGCCCGAGGTGTCTGTCCCCAGCGCCCGCCGCGCCGGCCTGGAGCCGCAGACAAAGCGTCGGGCTCACAGCGCACCGCCCGCGCCCACTAGGGTCCCCGCAGTGTCGCGCGTCGTGGCACCTGGTCTCACAGGTGTGGTCGCGGAGAGTGATTGGGGGAGGGATACAGTCACCCGCGGGAGGTCTGGAGAAGGCAAACAACGTCGGCTAGACGAGGGTCAGGTGGGCGACTGGGAGAAACAGCCCTCAGGTTGTTAGTTAAGCTCCGTGGATGTTGACAGTGACATCACACACGCCTGGGGCTGAGTGTTGAAATCCTGGTTACAGGATTGTGTTGTGTTTTGTGACGGTGACAAGGATATTTGCTGTAATCGGTCTGTTTGTATGCATCGCAAGGAGAACTCTTGAGGGTTGCTCTTGGAAAATTGCAGCATCATCACACTGAAAATTTAATGAAGCATTCATCCTAGACCAAGTGCATGGCTTCCATCGCTCAGATAAAATACTGTTAAGTCATTTACGGTTTAAAGATGATAAAGATAACGTGTCTTCAAAGAAATCCAGGATTAGTCAACATCTTCCGCTGTGAAGATATTTGTTGGGAATTATTAAAAGTTACACAATGTAATCATTTCTATGGTTATTTTAGTGACAAATCTTGATTAGGCACAGAAGTGGCAATTTTAGATGCCTTGGATAGTTTGTCTTAATAAAATGAAATTGGAAGGTATTTTGACTACTTTACTTTGCAGACAATGAAATTACCACCGAATGGAGGTGACAGCTTTACATGCCACCTCCCCGACCTCCCCCTCCCCCAGACAGAACTTTTTTATGTAGCTTTGGAGGCTGTCCTGGAACTCCCTCTGAAGATCAGACTGGCCTGGAACTCACAGAGATCTGCCTGCCTCTGCCTCCTGAGTGCTGGGGTTAAAGGCGTGTGCCACCACCTGGCAGCTTTATGATTCTTTTACACGCAACAGCTGTAAAACTTTGAAAAAATTTATTCTCCTTTTCGGCCATTCCTGGGCTATTTTCCATTACTAGATGAGCTTGTTTTTCCTATTCATTCTGCTACCTTTCTTTTGGCCTGAAAATATGAATTAATGACTGCATCAGGGCCAGGGGAATGGAAAGAAAAGACAAGAAGGCCATTAAGAGCCAGTTTACTGATTATGATTGGTGGGGAGACAAACAAACCAACCACAAACTTTTTTTTTTTTTTTTTTTTGGTTTTTCGAGACAGGGTTTCTCAGTGGCTTTGGAGGCTGTCCTGGAACTAGCTCTTGTAGACCAGGCTGGTCTCAGACTCCGGCAACCACAAACTGTTAATGAAAACAAAATTTGCTTGTGAGAAGCCTTTTTTTTTTTTTTTTTGGTTTTTCGAGACAGAGTTTCTCTGTTTTGGAGGCTGTCGGTCCAGCCTGGCCTCGAACTCACAGAGATCCGCCTGCCTCTGCCTTCCGAGTGCTGGGATTAAAGGCATGCACCAACCAACGCCCGGCTGAGAAGCCATTTTTTTAAAATAAAGATTTGAGATTTTTTTTTATGTGTGCATCTTCCAAGTCGTTGGCTAGTTGGCTGGCCACCATATTAAATCTGCCCTTGCTTCCAGTGGAAGCAAACAGAATCACGAATAGACCTAAGGTGGTGATGACCTATGAATACATTACTGTCTGGTAGCATGCATGAATGATGTGGGTCTCATTTTCGAGGGAAAGGTTTATCTGTCCTTCAGCCTTCCAGATGCTATGATGACAGGTGTTAGCCACCAGGGGTAGCTGTCAAAACCGCAACAGAATTTGACCTACATTGTGAAGATTCAGTTTGGTGAAACTGGGTTTTTTTTCCCCCCACATTAAATACATTGTTCTCTTGTTTGAAATCTCTAAAATCATTTTATATGAGCTAAAAATAGCTTACATTCACGTGCCATGATAACATTTATAAAGTGCTTAGACACATATTCACGTATAACAAACATATTTTGAACATTCTGTCCTATGTCTGCTGTTCTGATTTCTGAGCTAAAATTTAATAATAAGTGGTGCACATATATATCATATATTAGAGTGAAGACAGTGCTTACCTGTTTTATATCAGGTAAAAATCTCATCCCTCAGAGTCTGTGACTTAAATGCTATTATTTTTATGTCCTGCTTACTGATGGAGAACAGGAAGATATTCAGTCAACCTTCGACAATTAAACTGGTAGCAAATGATAGAAACAGGGTCCCAATCCAGACATCTTAAATTTATGGCCCAGGTGCTTAACCCTGAAACCCATGTAGGTGAGAGACAAGACCATGACTTGCCAAGTTTTATTTGTTTAAAAGGTCACTTGCTTCCTCCTAATCCTGTACTGGTTCAATTACAAATGAGCTGCCTTGGCAGACTATTCATAGCTTGACAAACTCGAGAAGACAAGAGTTCACAAAGAGTGGCCCCATCTCTAACTTTTCCAATGTCCTCCAATCCAATCTGTTGTCCAGTTTGTGCAAACCTCATCAGGAGAAGTTAATCTTTACAAATGTTGCATCTAGACACAAAGTTAACAGAGGCATTTGGCCCCTCTTTCTCCTTTAATGCATAATGGAATGGCAGGCAGTGCAGACTTGGCTGTATTTCATAAAAGCAAAAGCATTGTCAAGGTGCTCACGTATTATTGGAGTCAGAGGCTTGGTCTTATTAAAGGTCATTACTGTACTCTTAGAGGTTTTGCAAAGCAAGTGCTTGAGACATATAAGCCTTTGCTGGGGGGATGCTAAACAGCAAGCTTCTCATTTAGGGAGAATGCTTTTGACTCAGGTTCTGAGAATCCTTTGGCATTTGAGTTGTCTGTAGATTCTCTTTCACTGAGAATGGAGATGGATTCAGAAGACAGTCCAAATGGTCAATTCCTTGTGGCAGTTGAAGACCTGAAATAAGGTTAATGCTACATAAATGAAATTTAAGTTTAAATTAAATGTTTCTTAAACATTTATTTGTGGTGTGTGTGTATACATACATATACAAACACACACCTTTGTGACAATCAGAAAACAACCCGTGGGACTTATTTTTCTCCTTCTTGCCATGTGGTTCTGAGGGTTAATCTCTGGTCTTAAGCCTTGACAGCAAATACATCTTTACCTGCTGTGCATGTCAACCCAAATTTAAATTTAAAAACTGGTCTTTGATTCAGTTACTAGAAGCTTTTGCAAGTGCTTGAATATCTTAGTCATATGGATTTATTTTTTTTCAGCTGTAAAGTTCATGAACTCTAAATACTGGTGAAGTATTTCTGATGAAAGTTTTGTATTCGTGTTAATATGTGCATTAATGTCCATATACAGGGTTTCAGTCTGAAAAATGAAAGCACTTAGCTCAATAACTTTATCTTGTTCACATGTTGAAATATTTTGAGTGTCACTGAATTACATACAATATTAAATTAATTTCATCCAGATTTCTCTCTTTAGGAACGTGAGTAGTAGAAGCTGGAGAAGCACATATGTGGCATATATGTGGTATACATGTTGGCTGGTGATGCTGCTCTGTAATTTCAATGTAAGGAAGAAGTAGCAAGTACAACCTCTCACAGATACAGAAAAGAACCACAGACTAACCCTACCTTTAGACAGAGAATATACCAAATAGTGAGCATCTACTTTTAGTGTGTGGGCCTATGCACACAAATATCCATGAATGCCCATATGAACATGTATGCACATAAAATGTTGCTTCGTAGCGATTAAGCTGACTGTCTGGCTTAGGTAGATTACATTTGCAAAAGCAAACCCATTGTATTACTATCTTAATTGTCTTACACTGAATTGACTGTTGGCTTAACTAAAAGCTGTAAAAATCAGTTAAACATTTAAAATTCTTCATGTAAGGCACTGAGACATTATGAGGAGGTGTGGCCTTTTCTGTTTCCCTTTTCTGAATATTGACAACAAATTCTTACTTTTCCCTTCTCAAAAACCTTAGCTTGCAGAATTCCCCAAGGACTGCTTAACAATGGAGATTCACAGGACCTTTACATTGTCATATAATTGTATATGGCAACTAAAATTTCTTTGCTTGGCTTTAGCAAGACTCTGATATCGTTGAGTTTGGATTACTGTATAACATCAAATTTGTGTTTTTTTTTTTTTTTCTGCATCTGGGTTTCTCTCTGTAGTCCTGGCTGTTTTGGAATTCACTCTGTAGACCAGGCTGGCTGAGACTCAGAGCTCTGCCTGCCTATGCTGCCCTAGTGCTGGACTTAAAGGTGTGCACCATCATGCCTGGCTCAAATTTGTTTTTTAGTTTGCTGTGTTCTCACTTTCCTGAAACCTGCTTGCTTTGCTTGTTTGTTTGTTTATTCTTTCATTGATTTGAGACAGTCTTACTATGTAGTAGCTCTGGGTGTTTTGGAACTGGCTTTGTAGACCAGGCCAGCCTGGAACTCAGAGAGCCACCCACCTATATTAGCCTCTTCCTATCTGCTAGGAGGACACTATCTGTAAGCCATCCTACTTGATACAATGAGCATCTCCCTTATATGTCTTTGGTTTAGGCTTTGAAAGAAATGAAAGGGAACAGACCTTTAAAAGAGAAAAGGTGAAATGAGTTCAAAGTCAATGAAGCCTTTTTATCTATAAAACATGAATTAATTCTTTCCCTTCAAATATGGAGTAATACCTCTCCTTTCGACTGTGGTGATCAATACAATGATTAAAAATAACTTGTGGAAGAAAGGGTTTATTTGACCTTATCCATCCTGGTCACAGTCCTTTATTGAGGAAAGTGAGGCAGGAACTCAGGCGTGAACAGAGGCAGGAACTATGGAGGAAAAGTGTCCCTTATACACTCCAGGGCCAACTGTCCCGGGTAGCACCATTCACAGTGTTCCGGGTCCTCCCATATCTATCATTAATTGATGCCCTGCAGACATGCCCACAGACCCATCTGCTGGAGGCACTGCCTCAACCGGGTTCTTTATTCCCAGCTGACTCCAGAGTTTGTGTAAAGTTGACATAACCAGCACGTAAGTGGAAAAGGTGTGGTAGAACACGTTTATTGCTTAGAATGGCACGGGATTTCAGGTTTCATATTTAATTATCACTGCTACTTGTACTTCTGCCATCTGATTTGCTAATTGGCTACTATACTAATGCATAATTATGGGGTAGTGAATGTGTACCAGCGCTTTCCGTTTTAGTGACATCATGAAAACAGAAATTACCCCGGGGGTTAATATCATGATCTCCTCTTTCAGTTCTCATTAGTTTTTCCTCCAAA